TTCAACCCATCGACCTTCAACAAACATCTGCTCACCAATCCAACACTCAGACTGCAACAAACGGCTTCCCGTATCCACCTCTACCACTCGACCTCCGGCCACCGCCAGACCAATACTCCGACCTCCAGCCTCCGACATCCGGCTGCGACCACAACCCATTCACGATCATCCACAAAAACGCGAGGAGCCTGACTACAGGCGACTCGATCGACCTAGTTACTGATCTGCGAATTGGGAAAACATACTTGGGACATCGTGGCAATAAACGAAACATGGAGGACAGAGCAGCACGAGATGTGGACTACGAAACTTGGATCGCATGTTTTTGCGGCAGCCGGTCACACCGCTACATCACGAGGTGTTGCTGTCTTGGTTCACCAGCGGCACGTGCGCAGCATCAAGCGTTTCAGACGTGTCAACGAACGCATCGCCTACATCGACCTCGACGTTGGCAAGTGCAGGATGAGAGTGACGACAGCATATTTTCCTCATTACGGGTACGCCGACGTTCACGTCCAAAGTATGTATGATTGCCTGACCGCCCTTCACGACGACGCCACCCATCAGAAGCGAGCCGCAATCATCACTGGAGATTTCAACGCACAAGTTGGACAGCGACCAAACAGCGCGGACGACGATGTCAATCGCAGCGCAAGCCGAAGACCAACCGTGGGAGCACATGGACTGGGAGATTGCAACACACGTGGACCGTGGTTACGAGCTTGGGCCAACACACAAAGGATGCTTATCACGAACACCATGTTCTACAAGCACCACCACAACGTTCTTACGTACACCAGCAGCGGAGAGCATCCAACCCAGTCTCAAATTGACTACATACTCATAGATCGATGTCGCCGCAATCAAATACTCGACGCATTTGCCACCAGCACTCCGGACCTCGGTTCAGACCATCAAGCAGTATGCATGAAGATGGTCCTCAACCCCACGAAAGTCAACAAGAAGAGCAAACGTAGACGACGAACACCCTACCAATCATCTCTTCCGCCCGCCGCCGACCCACTTTACCAGCAGTGCTTACAGCGCCGACTCGACGATCACGACCGCACAGCTAGTATAAATGACAGATGCACCTACATCAACAACGCCCTTGTCCAGGCTCACGAAGAGTATCGCGAACATGCGCGAGGTACTGCACAATGCCCGGCGCATGGGGAAGACCTCACAGCATACCACAAACTACAAGAGCTCATCGTCCAACGACGTAACACACCACACAATGACACAACCAAACGTGCCACGTTGAGCAAGCAAATGTTGAGGCAACTTCGAACCATCAAACGAGCCCGCGACAACGCTAAACTAGATGACATTGTCTGCCAATTCAAAGGCCTCAAGAGGATCGCCGGTGTGAAGTCTCCCAAACGAAAAGACATGATTGCATCAATGACGACCCCAACGGGAGACGAGGAGACTGACAGGACAAGCATCGCCGACGTTTTCGCGGCATTCTACGAGCAACTCTACCAGAAGCAAGAGAGCGACAACAAAGATAATAGCACTGCCACAAAGGCAACATATTCCAACATACCGCCATTCACGATGGAAGAAATACGGAAAGCCATCAAAAAGCTGAAAAATGGCAAGTGGAGCGACACTGCTGGCCTCACAGCAGAACTGCTCAAAGCAGGAGGCACGACCATTGAGGAGTACTTGATGCAGCTCTACAATGACATTATCACACCAAACCACCTGCCACCCGACCAATGGAAAAGCACGACGATCACAGTTATATACAAGTCCGGAGACCCCAAACTACCACAAAATTACAGACCAATTGCCATCACCCCGTTGTTGTGCAAGCTTATGTCTCGCCTCATATGCAATCGGCTTGAGGCAGCATTCGACGCACAACAAAGCCCCGACCAAGCTGGCTTCAGGCGTGGCTACAACACGGAAGACCACTTATTCACTACGGCAGTATTGTACGAACAGTCATACCGCTGGCAGCTACCACTCTGGGCAGCCGCAATAGATTTTAAGAAAGCGCTTGACTGCGTGAGCCATGGTAAACTTTGGGAAGCTTTGCGACAGCAACACATCCCTGCTGCATATATTGATTTCTTACAGCAAATGTACAGCGACCAGACAGCCAGTCAGAACAGACACTAACAGTCGGCATTTCGACATACAGCGGGGAGTGAAGCAAGGAGACCCTCTCAGTTCATTCTTGTTTAATTCGTTTTTGGAACACATTTTCCGACAACTCAAGACCAAGTGGCACCAACAGCGGTTTGGCATCAGGCTTGGCTATGCACGAGAGACTAGCATCACCAACCTGCGCTTCGCAGATGACGTCCTGCTGTACGCCCCGAACCTACGCCAGCTTACCTGTATGCTACGCGACTTGAAAAACCAGGCGGCACTCTGCGGACTTTCACTGCACCCCGACAAGACCAATATCCTGACGAACGTTCGCCGGAGGATGGGTAGAACCATAACGCACATCAAGTTGGACGACGCACGTATCGACATGGTGCAGAACGACCAGAGCACAAAATACTTAGGCAGAAAACTGTCGTTCCACAACTTCCACGAGTACGAGCTGGCAAACAGGATCGCCGCAGGGTGGGCGAAGTTCAACCAGCTACGGAATGAACTCACGAACAAACGGTTATCTTTACACAGTAGACTACGACTTCTCAACGGCACAATCACGCCTTGCGTTGTGTATGGATGCTGCTCATGGACCCTCACCAAAGACATGCTCCTCACGCTGCAGAGGACACAACGGAAGATGATTCGTCTGGTCGTGGGCGTGCCGAGAAGACGGCCCCGACAGGGAAACAACAACGCAGCATCCGATACCAACAGAACAACCGACGACACTGGTGACCAGCACAAATTTGGACCGCGCAGCAGAAACGACGACCTGGAACCCTGGGTGAATTTCATACGCAGGAGCACACGCACTTCCATAAGTATTGCCGAGCGCATGCATGTGCGAAAATGGACACACATATATTTCAAAACGAAATGGAACTACGCAGCTCGAGTCGCAAGCCACAGTCACGACAGATGGACGAGACGTTGCGCAACTTGGGACCCGAGCGCTCACGACGCACGACGAGCAGAACGACGACACGGCGGTCCACGGAAGACTTGGAACGACGACATATTGTCATTTCTTCAAACAGCTACAGAATATAAATACGACAACCAATGGGTGGATATGGCACCTGATGCAAATTTGTGGAAAAGTCTTGAGGATGGCTTTCTCGACTACATGGAGGACTTCCTTCTTCTCCCTCAAAGAGTCTCCAACATCCATCTCTCCGATTTCTGCTCGCAACACGTCTTCTGAGGGCCCCGGCCCCCCCGCGCTGCCCTCGTAGGGCCGGTCCCGCTGGACCGACATCGCACGCTCGTCGTCGTCGTCTCCTCTTTCTCCGACTCCTCTTCCTCCTCGTCCTCTTTCTCGTTCTCGTCCTCCTTCTCGTCCAGTCCTCTTCGTCCTCCTCGTCCCCCTTTCTCGTCCTCCTCGTTCTCGTCCTCATCCTGGGCCTGACCAGGCTGATCCCAAACTTGTTCGACTGCATTCTTCTACTCCTGGATCGGCTGGTGGGGGTACTTTTTGGTCTGTGGCCGCGCGACAACGGTCTGGCGGCGAGGGGCAAAGTCCGGGGCAGGCGGCACAATGCGAATTTGCGAACACAGGCTGGTGGGGGTACTCTTTTTTTGTCGGCGGCTCCGAGGCAGCGGACAGGGAGCGGAAGGCGTCGTCTGGGCCAGCAGGCGAGGCTAATTAGCTACAACAGGCAACGCACCTGCAGTAATAAGCTGGTGGGGGTACTCGAAGCGTCAAGAATGTTCTCTTCACCGAGCTTCGTAAACGCCCAGGACAGTTTAGTTGTTTTCTCAAGCTAGGCCGATAACCTGTGCAGACACATGAACTCAAAGGCGTGCATGCATAGGGCTGGCGGAAGCTAGGCCTAGACCATATCCGCCAACGTGCCTTCAGCAAGAAGTGGAATGCCCCAAGGCGCGGCGCATACAGTCCAACAAAGGGTTGAAACAATCTTCGAGTCCCGAAACCCCGGTTTCCCAGGCACTCTTGGGCGCTCTTGGGAATTCCTGGGGTGTGACGCGTGAGCATTTGAAACACTTCGCCAGCCTAAACCTTCTCCTAGGACACCCAATGGTGTCCCAATAAGCGGCCCAGCTTTTCTAAGAGCACCCCGAGACGGTCCAAGAGAGCCCAAAGACGCCCAAGATAGGTTCACGACGGCCCAAGATGCCCCGAAGAAGCCTCAAGAGAGTGCACTCGGGCTCCAAGAGACCCGCCGAAAGGGCCCCAAGACCCCAAGAGGCAAGAATCAATGATTCTCCAGAGGTTGTTGAAGGAATTTGTAAGGTTCGCGCCTTTTCGGGCTCCCAACGCTCCAAGACGGCCCAAGAGGTCACCAAGAACGTCCCAAGACTACCCAAGAGGCCCCCAAGGGCCCCCCAACGGCCAAAGAAGGCCAGAAGACGGCCCAAGAGGCCCTTGACGGCCCCAAGAGAGCCTCAAAAGGGGGGACATTTCGAGCCGGTCCAAATCAAGCCCCGAGAGGCCCCCATGAAACCTCCGAGAGGCCCCCAGGAGGCCCAGAAGGCACCCCAAAATCGCATCCAAGAAGCTTCCCGGAGGCCTCCCAATAGATAGATCCCCGGAGGCATCCAAGAAGCCTCTGCCCGAACAGCAGCTCAGCTCAGGCACGGTGGCGGGAGGAGCCGAAGGCCGCTAGATGTCGATGTGGCTTTCCCTCCCTCGGTTTGGGGCAGCTGGCCTTCCTTGAAGGAGCCCTGGGACACGCAAATAAATGCACACAAATAACAAGATTCCCCATATTTTCCTACCTTTTCTGGGCTTCCGTCTTCCCCCCCACTTCCCCTATTCCCCCATATGTTCCTGGGGATGGACGATTCATTGTGTCTGTGTGTGTGCTTTTTCCCCTCCTGATGGTCTCCCCTCCCTCGGTTTGGGGCAGGTGGCCTTCCTGGCGCGCGCGGCGTGGAGCCCATCCGCCGGAGCGGCCCAGGGGCGGTACTCGGCAAGCACCGACACCGCCAGCGCGCCGACCACCGCCAGCGCCAGGGGGCCGGCGACCTTCCCGTGGCGGACGACGCCCAGGCTGAGTCTGCCTAGGGTGCGCGGCAGCGTCGGCCGCACCTGAGCGGCGGGAGGAGAGGAGAGCCGCTCGAGGCGTTCGCGTGCAGTCGGATTTATGATTGGAAGCGGTGTGACGCGCACATCCTCCTCCTCCTCCTCCTCCTCCTCCTCCTCCTCCTCCTCCTCCTCCTCCTCCCCCTCCTCCTCCTCCTCCTCCTCCCCCTCCTCCTCCTCCTCCTTTCGCGTGCAGTCGGATTTAGTATTAGAAGCCGGGCTAGCGAGATCGGCTGTACTCTCGCGCCGTGCCCTGCCAGACGCTTGCCGGCATGGCAGCAACCTCTGACCAATTGGCACTTCTTTGTACACGTGCATGCACATGTTTATACACCTCGCGCGCCCACACCGTACGGTCGGAGCAGGAGCATGAAGACATGCTATAAGAACGTGACCCCCTCCGCCGACCAAAAAGACCACCCGGGCATGAGATCAACGAGGGTCCCTTCCGAGGAGTCGCCCGACCTTAACTGCCTGCCCCATCGAGGAAGCCACGGTGAGCATGGAAAACATGGCCTGGGACCCCAGCCTTACTGGAACGAGCGAGCAAAGGTGTCAAACCGAAGAACATTCGAGGGTACTCTTCCCCAAGTTGCACAAGAACACGCAAACAAAACGAAGAACCTCCCCCAACCGAGCAAATTCTTACGCCTCGAGCCGAGCCGACGGTATCTAGGAGAGAGCGTGATCCACCGCCACTTTACTCTGGAAAATTGCCGCCCTTTTCCTCCTGAACCCGGGGGTCCCCCCCCCTCCGAAAATCCCCCCCCCTGCTGGACCCCCCCCCCCCTTCCCCCGGCAAACCCCCCCCCTCCCCTAACCCCTCCCCCCCCCCCCGGCCCTCGAACTCGAAAACCGGGGGGGGGTTACTACCGGTTCGAACCCCTCCCCCCTCGAAAACCGGCCGGAGGGGGGGGTCACTTCCAATTCGAACCACTGAGCTGTCCCACTTTTCCCACCACTGTCCCCACTGTCCCCACCACTGTCCCCACCGTACCTCTGTCCCATTGTCCCACCGCCGTCCTCGCCACCGCCTTCACCACTGTCCCCACCACCACTGTACCCTCCACTGTCCTACTGTTTCCACCACATTCCCACTGTCCCCACACCACTGTCCCCACCACCACCGTCCCCACCACTGTCCCACTGTCCCCACTGTTCCCACCATTGTCCTCACCATTGTCCCCACCACTACCGTCCCCACCACTGTCCCACTGTCCCCACCACTGTCCCGCTGTCCCCTCACCACTGTCCCCACCACCACCGTTCCCACCACTGTCCGCACCCCCCCTCGGTTTTCGAGGGGGGGGGGGGTTCGAACCGGTAGTGACCCCCCCCGGTTTTCGAGTTCGAGGGAGGGGGGGGGGGTTCGAACCGGTAGTGACCCCCCCCCATTTTCATGATGAACTGGGGGGGGGGGAGGGGTTCGAACCAGTAGTGACCCCCCCCGATTTTCCGGAGGGGGGGGGGAGGGGTTCGAACCGGTAGTGACCCCCCCCCCCGGTTTTCCGCCAGCAGCGGTAGAACACGCTCTTTCGTATCTAGGCATCCGACCATGTTATATGTTTCATCCGCGGCTCCAGAGCTCGAAATCTAGGAAAAAACGCCGGGGATGCAATACATGGCATCGTCGGAGATCTGGACTTTTCTGCGCCGCCCACCCGGCGGGAGTTCCCTGGCTGGGGGCGCTCGATCAGGATATCGTCCTCCGCGCCGTCCCACTCCCCGGGCTCGCAGTCGTCCTCGTCCTCGGGCCGGACGCCGCCAGGAGGTGCCCATGCGCCGAAGCTTGTGGATGCCATGACAATGGACACTCTAAAAATCCGATCATAGAGTTCAACATGTGTTTAAAATGTGCAAAAAACATTTTTAGACATCTGGAAATTATTTGGCAGCATGCTTCCTCTCCATTAAGCGACTTCCACAAGCCGAAGCTTCCAGAGCACTGCCAAGGGCCAAAAGCGGGCCCCCGAGAGAGCGGCTGACACGCACAGTCTCTCTGCCCGTGCTCGGGCGCTGGCAGCTGTCCAACTCCACCCCTCGTCCGAGGTCCGCGGTCCTCCCCTCCCTTTTCCTCTCCTCCCCCCTCTCCTCCTCCTCCTCCTCCTCCTCCTCCTCCACCTCCTACTCATCCTCCTCCTCCTCCTCTCTCCTCCTCCTCCTCCTCCTCCTCCTCCTCCACGTCCTCCTCCTCACGGGATCTAGTCCTCGCGATTGGCAAACTTGAAGTCAGCGGCGCCCCCATCCATCCGGCCTCCCAAATCGACGATGCATCGGCGATGCGGCGCGGTCTTCTGACCCCACCTACACGGACCCCATTCGGGGGACCCCGAATCCACCTCACCCCTGCCAGCACCCCCAGGCTGCCTTCGCCTACACGCACCGTGAGGCTCACCGACTGCGAAACCCAGACTGCAGCAAACGCCTGCCGTGACGTAACGACGCCGGCTCCAGCTCGTGACACCGTAGTGAGGGGCAACGTCAGTGGGGGGAAGTGGCTCACGGAGGGGGGCATCGACCTGGGATTGGCGATACATCGCCGATAGACTGGTGGTACGCCCCCGATCGCGAAACCGAGCGCGCCTGAGCGGGGTGGGCTGTCGGCCCCCTATCGGAGATCAATGGGCGATGATGGGGCCGACGTATCCGCCCTGACCCTATCACCCGAATGATCATCGTCGCCTGGTTTTCAGGTCATACCAGGGGTCTCCGGCGGCCGGTAGCTAGAACACCTCCAAGGACCGACGAAAACGTCAGAAAATTGCCCCTAACGCCGCCCCTAACGCTGCCCCTTACGCGGAACGGCTCAGACTCGAGCGATCTCCTCCGTCGGAAGCCCTCCAGGGATTGCCGCCGCCATCAATTTGCGAGGCGAAAATGTATCCAGAACCACCGCCTGGGAGATCGTCTTCGGGGAGGTCGGCAGGCGGTGGGTACGGATAGGTGTGGTCCCCTGAAGCTCCATACACATACATACATACATACATCCATACATACATCCATGCATGCATGCATGCATGCATGCATGCATACATACATGCATGCATGCATGCAGGCAGGCAGGCAGGCAGGCATACCTACATGCATGCATGCATGCATGCATGCAGGCAGGCATACATACATACATACATGCATGCATACATGCATGCATGCATGCATACATACATGCATACATACATGCATGCATGCATACACACATACATACATGCATACATACAGACATATGCATGCATGCATACAGACATACAGACATACAGACATACAGACATACAGACATACAGACATACATACATACAGCGTACATACATACATTCAGTTGTACATACATGCATGCATACATGCATGCAGTCATACAGGCATACATGCATGCGTGTATGCATACATACATATGCATGGTTGTGTGTATGTATACATGTGTGTATGCATGTATACATGCATGTACGTATGCATGCATGCGTGAATGGTTGCATGCATGCATGTATATATATATATATATATACACACACTCAGAACTATGGATACGCAATAATGTGTCTACACACATACATACTCATATCCATGCGTACCTATATACATACTGGCCTACACATGTTTTCGTCAGCGGCGGGGCAGACTTGGCTGCACCAGCGATGAAAGCAACGCGGGGGCACCGGGGCGCGAATTGGCCAGCGTGCGCGAGCGGGGAAAGGACAGACAGGGCGGCCGCGGGGGGGGGGGAGCGGAGGCCGCTCGGGGGCAGACGGGTCGGCACCTGAGCTGCTGGCCGGCGGGGACCACGGCAGCTGCTGGGCCGCAGCGTCGGGGCACCCACGGGCGCAGGCGGGGCCCGGCGCGGGCCTGCTGCAAGCGTGCGAAACCAAAGACCGTCGACGAAGGGCGCGAGGCGCGAAGCCGACGGGCGGAGGCCGCAGCCGCCCAGGTGGGTGGCGCCGGCAAGGTGCGTCAAGTACAGTGCAGTCCGAATCAAACGTTCAACTGCCCCCAGCAAAATGCCTGCTGAGCCTGCGGGGGGAAACAGGCGGCAAAACCCGGACCAGGTTCCCGACAGCGAGGGGAGGCTGCCAGCGGCGGCAGCTCCGCGCACGCCATGGCGGCGCGCGAGGGAGGGTGGGGAAAGCGAGCGGAGGGGGAGGCGGGGAAGAGGGCGGAGAGGGGAGGAGCGCCCCGCCTGTGGGGAGATCCCCGCAGGCGGGGCGGCAGCGCCAGCGCTGGCGCCAAGCGTCCAGACGGCGGCGGCCCGCGCACTGTGCTGCGCGGGCGTCTGCAGTGCCCACGGTGGCAGGTGTGGGCTGCTGTCGCGCCTCGGGCTGCCAGTTGCAGGCAGCGAAGGGGCGTGCCAGTGTCAAAACTGTGGCTGAGGCCGAAGGCCATGTGCTGCCAGGGTGGACAGCGCAGGCCAAGGCTGGAGGCACCGAATCGGTGCAGAGAAAGCGAATGCTGGCAGGGGCTGGGACAGCCGCGTGCTGCCGGGGTGGAAAGCACGCGGCCACGCCAGGCGTGTCAAAACTGTGACCGTGGCCGAGAGGCCCCACTGCCGGGGGGGACAACGTGGACCGAGTCAGGGGCACCTCATCGGCGCAAGGACTGCTGCAGAGAGGCGGCGGGGGCCGCGGGGGCCGCGCGCGGCCAGGGTGGGCAGCGTGCGGCCGAGAGGACAGGGAAGCAGAGGGGGGGCGGGGGGGGGGGGGCAGAACGTGGAAAGGTGCCGCGCGCCGCCTGGGTGGTTGGCGCGTGGCAACCAGGTCCGCCGGGTTGCTCAGAGGTGGATGGAGTCGATAGGAAGATGGCCCTGGGACAGCAGGCGCCCCCGTGGTCCAGCGCACTGAGGGCGGGCGCGGGCGGCGCTGGAGGGGCCCGCGCCCGTGGTCCGTCGCAGGGCGCGGCAGGGCCCTGGCGCCATTGCCAGATGCAGTGGTTCGCTCTGGCGCGGCCAAGGCGCAAGGTTTCAGAGGTTATGGGAAGCCTGCGGCGTCGGGGAGGCGCTGCCTGAATCGGTCGTTGTTGGGCCAGGCGGGGCCCGCGCACCTCTTGCCCTTCCCGACCGCGTCGTGGGCCTTTTCCTTGCACTGACCCTTGTCCCGGTTCTGCTCGTTGCGTCGTACATGTGTCTCCCAGGCGGCGTCCCAATCCACGTTGACACCACGTGTTCTGCAGATTCTGCGGATGTCGAACTCCTGGTCGTACATCTGGAGCAGCAAGTCCCGGCAGAAGTGGTCGTGCCCGCGAGGGTCGTAGGCGCCCCTTACGGGTCGGTTATCCCTGGCATCGCAGAGAGCGTTCCATCCATCAACGAACATGGCGCCAGTGCCCCGTTTTCATCCTGTTGACAACCTCCTGCCACGTCTCCTGGCGCTTGGCCCTGTAGGTCCACGCGCGATGCCAGCTGATCTGCGCCCGAGGGACCCTGTAGAGCATGTCCTGGGGGTCGCGATGGCGAGTATATTCAAAGTCGATATGCGGGGTTCTCTGCCGCCTATGCCGCGGAGGCGATTCTTGGACGGCGATGCCCAGGCGCGGTGCCGCCGAGAGCTTCCTCCTCCTCGATAGCCAGACTCAGCACTGGCGTGTGCCGCATCGGCCACCCGGGGCCGGCCCTGCCCTTGCTCTGACGTCCTGGGTGCCTGCCGTGTTCTGCCCTCGTCAGGTCAGTCTCCTGCGCCCCGTCCTGCGACCAGCTCGGTGCGGTGGTCGCTGCGGTTGGGCGCGCCGGTCTCCACCTCCTCGGCAGTTCTGGCCTTCGCAGCCTGACGTTGCCGCGGCTGTTGGGGGGGGTGGCGGAGGGGGTCGATCGGGGCCGGGGCTGGAGATCCTGGTCTGGGCATGGGGGTCAGAGTGAGGTTCACTGCTGGGGCCTGCTTGTGGGCCCTGATCGCTGTCCTCCGCAGCGGGCGAGAAATCAACTTCGGAGATGGCGCGCGGGGGGAAGGGGCGGGCGGGCGGTCGGCCTCAGTGGGCCAGGGGGCGAGAGCTGCAGGGCGGTCGGAGTGGACCCCTGGGCCTGCGCCTGCTGGGCCTCCAGCTGGCCCGCTGGCCTCTCCGAGGGCTTGGTCGCGCGGGGGGTCCGGTTGAGGCAGAGCTGCGCCCCTCGGCCTGCGGGCCTGTCCTGATTCTGTTGCGGATGGACTCGACAGTGGGATTGTGGGCGCGGCATGGAATGCCATGCACCAGCTGAGGTGACCTTAGGTCCTAAATCCCCGGCGCGGCAAGGAAGCAGGCGAGGCGCTGCTGCCCGTACTTGTTGGGGTCTCTGAGGTCCCGAAACAGCTGGGGATGGCTGGCGTGTAAGAAAACAGCCTACTCGTCAGCCAGGAAGTCGGCCTCGCTTCCAGATGAGCGCTCCTTCTGCTTGATATGGTAGCTTTCCACGCGCGCTAGGGCAGCCCGTCTTCCGTCCCAAGGGCGTCCGCCAGGTACTCCGTTGTCCGGAATGGTCGGGCCGTAGCTGCTGATGAGGAAGCTCTTGCAGTCGTCCTCTGTCCACGCCGGGGGGCCCCTCGGGGCGCCGCGCGAGCCGTCTGAGCGGGGTCGCTGTTGCTGCAGGTCCTCGGCCCACTGCCGCCAAGTCTCTTCGACGCCGTCGTCCAATGCCTGGGCGCGTCGGGCCATCGCGTGGGCAATCGTGTCATCTGCCTTTCCCTTCCTTGGGCCCGGGCTGATCGGTGCAGCGGGTTGCAAGGGGGCCCACTGAACGGATAGCAAGCCAGGGGCAGGGGGGGGGCCGGTAGGTCGGGTAGGTCTGCGAGGATTC